GCGCGGAATGTTTTGCAGGAGGGCGTCATCTTTCTCGTCGGCTGCCAACAAGTCCTCTACGGTCAGATACATGTAGTCGTTTTCTGGAAATGGTCCAATTGGCGGCGGCTGCTCCGTGACCGAACGCGGCGAGTACCGCTCCGGCTCGGGTTCGGGAGCTCCTTTCGTCCCTGGCGGTAGGGGGATGGTCGGGTCGGCGGGAATTTTTGCCCTAGCGGCATCTACTTCGACCACCATGTCGGCGGGAATATTTGCCCTAGCGGTGTGTACATCTTCCTCCATGAAAGGCTCGTTCAGGTCGGGAATCGCGCTGCTCCCCGCCGGCGGCGCGACGCCAGCCATCTCGGCGGGTAGAGTTGTTCCCGTTGGCCTCTAGTTGTCGCCGCGATCTCGCGGCGGTACGTGCTCAGCCCACCAAAGTCGATACTGCACAATCGCTGCAGTGTATTGCCTTCGCACCGTGGCCCTAAAGGCCGCCCGTCTTTCGGCCCTCTCAACGTTCTCGGCGATCGTCAACTCCGCGGCAATGTCGGTCAGTTCGGGAATTTCGGGAAGTAAGGGCGGCGGATTGGTGTTCTGCTGGGTGATGTTCGGAGTGGCCGTGGTCGGCGGCACAATGGTCGGCGGGGTGTGAAGTGGCAATGTATCGTTCGGCGGGGTGTTGTCCGGCGGGATGTTGTTAGACTGGTCCCTGACCATTCGAGGCCGCACGGGGGATCACCGGCGATGACAATACTGGTTGTGGGTTTGAAGAAAGAGGTCGGCGACTTTCGGTTGTTGTCGACCTAGTTAGTCGTCCTAGTCGGAATGATCCTAATTCGGAAGCCCGTAAAGTTTGCCGGCCTAAACGCACTCTACACCGGCGTGGCTCGTCGTCGACCCTGCACCACGCGTGGTCGGTCGGTCTCCGAGAAGCGTGAAAATGAGTAAGGGAAATGTGGCTCACCAGAATGGAAATGAATGCAACGCAACAAACAAGTGTCGAAATGCCATGGACACTAGGCCGTCAGGGGGTCATAGCATAGAGAGGCACAGTCGCGGTTCGGGCGGACAGGTGTTGGCGGGCGATCCGTGGGCAGGTCTCCAACTCTGCATGCAAGGCAGAACGGCACGGCGGCGCAATGGTCGACGTGGCACGGGGCACTCATGTCTTTTACGCAGCCGACTGTCCGGTGTTCCCGTCACGGTGAATCGTGCTTATACGTCGGCGTGACGCAGCAGTGCTCATCGCGTCGCCCGACGATGGTATCCCGCGGGGACGTTCCCGCCAGCAGGCCGGCAAAGGCTTTATCGCCGCGTGGACAGACGTTTGCCGATCGATGTTCGCCGCGTGGAATGTTGTGTTTCGGATGGGCGACGTGTGGCTCTGCGCGCCAGCACAGTGGTCGGCCAGAAATCGCGGTGGGCCTCACATCGCAGTCCGCGCCGATGGCTAGGTGGACGTCGTGGCACGCTGGCCGCGACCGGCGTCGTCGACGTGTCGACCTCGTAAGGAGGGTTCGTTGAGAGGTGCTATCGGGGTATTTTTCATCGGGATTGCCGGGTGACGCAGGGTGACGCTCCTCACCCAGGACGTGCACTCAGTTAGCCGGACAGGATGACGCAGGGTGGCGGATCCCTTTCCCGAGCCGCGTCGTTTTTGCACCCGGATGTAGTCGGGGCGTTGAGATATACCATACTAACTCTGCGTTGTGAGCGGAAACAGAGCAGTATCAGTGCACCAGAAGCGCTGTAGCTGCGCTGGGAGCGAAGAAGTTCAGTAACAGTGTGTGCTCAACTCAAAACCCCACTTACAAACCACGAATTCCGGTACACCTAAATGTAATAAAACATATATGATAAACCTCAGGGGTATATATAATCTTTAGCACTAGAAACAGATAAATGTAGTGACTGTTTTCTGTGACAGTATCCACAGGTTCGGTTTGTAGTTATGTGCCATGTGTGGACCAATGAAATCAAAACTGCGTTGAAAGGAGCTAACTCTGCGTTGTGAGCGAAAACAGAGCAGTAACAGTGCACCAGAAGCGCTGTAGCTGCGCTGGGAGCGAAGAAGTTCAGTAACAGTGTGTGCTCAACTCGAAACCCCACTTACAAACCACGAATTCTGGTACACCTAACCACCGCTATTTTCAACCCCGAACCCTTGCACTGTTTCCGCGTTTCGAAGATACCCTGCACGCATTCGGCTATTTCAGTTGGGTACTTGATCAACATGGGCTATGAAGCACCCCGATTTTCAATGTTAAGAAACGCATGAAAGCTTATCTGAGACAATTACCGCTCGTGTGAAGGGGCACTCTTGCTGTTGCGAATTCCCTTGTGCCACTTCTACTCTTTTTGGGGGTCTGGAACTACTCACTGTGAAATAAGTGTGAAATTTCTAACGCCCACACAACCCTCGGTCAAAGATTCCAGAAAGGGTGCATACTTACTTGCGCAAGTGGGGTTGAAAATAGACCGAAAGAAAAGGGAAATTATACGCGCAGTCACAATTTAGGCCGTATTATCTCGTTTGGTCACGGGGTTATCACGGACAGTCACAGTACAGTACTTCGCTATCACGTGTGATCACAGCGCTATCACGCGTGGTCACACCTCGCCCCGCAGGGTTATCACGTTTGGTCACTCGTTGAAACGCCCGCCAAAAAGTCGAAACTCTCAAATCTACTGTACAGATTCGGGTACTATTATCTCGCGCGCGTTTTGTCTGTAGTGAAAAACGTGATGTGACTGTCGAAATATACTCGGACCTTGTTAGGGACCGATGCAGTTTAATGCACAGTCCGCATGTTGCAGTGAATATAAGCGATCAATAACAGTTTCGATTATACATTTAGTTTAGGGTGTGCATTTCATCCATAAAACAAAGACATGGGTTTAGGTCGAATGATTTAAATAGTGAGAACATTGAAATCATTCGAAAACCATACAACAATCTGTGGCATATGATTCTTGAGAGGGGACTACAAATTTGAGTCCCCACTCAAGAATCATATGCCACAGATTGTTGTATGGTTTTCGAATGATTTCAATGTTCTCACTTTTTAAATCATTCGACCTAAACCCATGTCTTTGTTTTATGGATGAAATGCACACCCTAAACTAAATGTATAATCGAAACTGTTATTGATCGCTTATATTCACTGCAACATGCGGACTGTGCATTAAACTGCATCGGTCCCTAACAAGGTCCGAGTATATTTCGACAGTCACATCACGTTTTTCACTACAGACAAAACGCGCGCGAGATAATAGTACCCGAATCTGTACAGTAGATTTGAGAGTTTCGACTTTTTGGCGGGCGTTTCAACGAGTGACCAAACGTGATAACCCTACGGGGCGAGGTGTGACCACGCGTGATAGCGCTGTGATCACACGTGATAGCGAAGTACTGTACTGTGACTGTCCGTGATAACCCCGTGACCAAACGTGATAATACGGCCTGAATTGTGACTGCGCGTATAATTTCCCAAGAAAATAGCGGTTGTTAGGTGTAAACAAATTTGGCTGTCAGATTTTTCCACACCAGCCGCCACACATCAGGGGGTTCGTACGTGTAGTTCCGCGCTGGTCTCTGAACCGAACCTACCGCTGTGGTTCGTAATCCCCGGGCAATCTCTGGCCGTCAGTTCCATCGTCGAGCGCCCACCAGACCAAGCAACCACCACTTTCAGCCCGCCCGTACCCTCAGAATTTTCCCGCCCGTACAATTCCCGCACCGAACCTCGAGAACTCCCCAGCCTGTACTTCACTGGTCTTGCGCAGGAAATACCAGCGCGGGAAGCTGCCAGCGCGGAGATCACAAGCTTCTGGAATCCACCAGCGCGGTTGGGTAGCCATCCTGGCCTCCAACGTCCCATCCCGTCCCGTCGCTTCCCTTCCCTAGCTTCCACCTCTCCCTTTCACCCTGGTTTCTGCAGCTCGCTTCGTCAAATCCCAGGGTTTCATGAATCAGAATCATCAGTCCGTCTTCCTTTCTGATTGGATTGGAGATGAATGTACCTGAACATCCTTCAGAAAGGCACGTGACTGACCAGGTTTTTCTGTTGACGCGATCAGTGAGCGTGAAGTGTTTGCTTTGCACGTAACTGACTTGGCTCGTTGCTTGCTTGATCAATGGTCCCTCAGAACCATTGAAGCAGGTTACCAAACCCTAATTTCTCGAATCGCCTTTCACGCGAGTACAGTATCCAATCACTGTAGCGATACTGAGTAGGTTCATGTAGAACGGCTTCTTTCGTCAGGGCTTCATGGCTATGGTGACAACAGGAAGAATGCTAGTTGGTTGTTGAGAATTCTCAGAGAACAGCTCCTGTCAGGACCGTCCATGGCTATGGTTACAACTGGTAGAATGCCTTCTTCCGATCACACTGCCGTTCCCGATCCTTGGACGTCTCGCCCTTCCGCTTCAGGTAACAGCTTTTCATGTGTATTCGCGTGGCCGGCATAACGGAACTAGGTTTTCTGGTGTTTCGCCTAGTTCTTAGACATTACGTCAATTGACCCTTACTTACAATAAGTTCTCAGAACCTGCACCGTCCGAGAAAGCCGTTTCGTGAATGAAATGCGTGGGATTTTCACTATCAGCATTTTCGTTTCTTCATTCCTTTCAGGACCTCTGCCTGGTGCGATGCTTCCATCTGCTGCACCCAGACCGACTCTTCACCGTTCTTATAGTCAAGGGGTTTCGCGGTGTCCCGTTAATAGGCCACCCACCGTCATTCACGGAATCCCGGAGCTCTCCACGTCTCCTTCCTTCGAGGTTGGCAGCAGTCTCAGCCTTCCCACGCACGCGTCAATTTAGTTTTTCTCGGATGGCATTCTTTCAACCGGTTGGACATGGCTGTCAATTGCCTGACGACATCTTTTCTTTGCCCAATATCAAAATTCTCCGTTTTGTCGCTGTATTTGCGGATAAGTTATTGACCTGTCCACTCTTTACCCGCTTCCTCATTCCCGCCCACCACCAGGAGGCCTCGCTTCTTATAGGCGAGGCCATGCCTTTCGACCGCACGAACTGGCACCCTCACGCTCTCGGCTCCTCCGCATCTGTTCCCGAAATCTCCACATGGCATCCCGGGAATCATGGGATCGGCGCTAATGCCGCCTCGAACAGCCGGTTCGCCTCGTACGCACTCAATCCGGTGTATGAAGGCTCAGCTCCTGCCCGAACCAGGCCAGGCTCGGGCCGAACCTGGAGCCTCATGGAGGAGGTGGAAGGGTCGGAGGACGACCCGGAACACGTGTCCGGCGGTGGTTCGTGGGACAGCGGGCGGAGAGCGCGACCATCTTATAGCAGTGGGTTGACAGTAGAGGGTAGAACTACAGGCGGAGCAGCAATGGGGTATGCCGGAGGGGTGGAGTACGGTGCGAGGAGCAGCAGTTGCGGTCAGCTGCCAGGGGTAGAGGAATCGACGCCTTTGGATAGTCACAAAGGCAACAGCAACAACTTTACCAACAAAATTATCAACGGCGGAAACAGCAGCAGCAATGCTCAATATGGCCATACAGGATTTGTGTTCACGGCCAGTCGGCCAGAAGAGCACGCAGGGTTAGGGCCTCGTGCGGGGCTTGCGAGCAATGCGCATGGACGACAGGCTAAAGGGTGGGGTCCCAGCTCGTTAGGCAGCGCAGCAGCAGCAGCAGGAGCAGGAGGAGCAGGAGGAGGGCCGGGGCGGGGAGCGGGCGAGGCGAGGTCTCTGCCTCTCCGGTGGGCGGGGGACGGGCTCTTAGAGACGGTCCGCGAGCATGAGAGTTTTGTGCACAGGCCCACAGTCGGCGCGGCCGTTGCTGAAGCTGCTGACGCCAAGGCTGGTAACGCCGAGGCGGAGAGGCCCTGGTTTCCTGGCGCATCCGGAGAGACCATACCTGAAGAAAGCGGGGGTGCGTTTCCTGGACCACCTCCTCCTATGAGTGTAGGGCCGTATTTGGCGCAAAGCGGGGGGTTGTTTTCGGGTCTTTTGGTGCAGGAGCAGCAGCGGTGGGCGCTTCCGGATTCGGAGATGGGATGGGGGGACGCGGGTGGCGCTCGGGTAGAGGAAGCGGGGCGGGCAGGAGGCGGAAGAGGGGAGAACGGGGCGGGGGTAAGGGATGACGGGGCAGACGTGGAGTTCGCTGATTGGCTGATGGTTCCTGGGGAAGGGGAAGAGGAGATTCCGGGTGACTTATTAGGCGGAGGGGGAGGTCAGTGTGGGCCTAATACCCGTGTGGCAGACGGTCATGGAGATGGGCTAGTAGGGGATGCTGTTGATGCTCGTCATGCTGGTGCTGTTTCTGCTGGTGATGCTTCTATCGGGGATGTTTCTGGTGGTGCTGTTTCTGGTGGTGCTGTTTCTGGCGTTGCGGAGTGCACAGCAGAGGGAGCGCGAGGACAGGGAGACGGCTTCAGCATGCACAACGGGGAAGCTTGTATGGGGGATAGAGGGTCGACTCAGGATGGGGAGGGAGCATTAGGGCGCGAGGGGGGCGGGGAGTGGACGGTGGAGCGAGAAGGAGAGGAGGGAGACGTGCTGTCGGAGCGCCCTAGTCTGCCTGACGACCTCGCCTGGTGCTCCTGGCCGGGCTGTGAAGACATGGCCACTGCTCGTCGCCCTGCTCACGCCCCACCTCGTGCTTCTGCGCACACTCTCTTGCATGACTTCTCGCGAGCAGCAGCACGAGCGGACGCAGGAGCGGAAGCAGCAGGAGCAGGTACTGGAGTGTCAGGTGGTGGCGTTGGTGCCGCCGCCGCTGCTGCTGCTGCTGCTGCTGCTGCTGCTGCTGGTGGTATGTCATCTGGCGTGGACGGGGGTCCGGCCCCGCTGTGTCGCGGACACCAGGCGCTCACGTTAGACAAGCGAGTGCGGGGGGGTTGCCTGATGAGCGTGCTCCAGTCGCGCGCAGCTGCGGAGGAGCTGGCTCAAGCAGGCCACGAGGAGGGGAACTTTGCTAATGATAATGGTGATGGTGATGATGACGACGATGATGGTGATGATGGTGATGATGATGTGGCTGATGGTGGTGCTGACGTGGCAGCCCTGGAGCTCAATACGGACACAGATGCGGATTTCAGCGCCTTTGCTGGCCCGTTTGCGTCCGGCCCCTTCGCTGCTAGTCCGTTTGTGAGTGGTTTCAATGGGTTTGGCGGGTTCGGCCACCCCTCTGGTGGACACCTTGAAGGGCACGTGCTATTCGAGGAGGCCCCATTTGACCTCGACTTTGCTGCCTTCTGGGGGTTTGGCACAGCGCCTGAGGACGCGGCTGGGGTGACTGCAGCGGGTGAGACAGTAGCGAGTTTTCCAGGGGCGGAGGGAGCAGTAGCGGAAGCAGCAGAGGCTGGAGAGAAGAGCAGGGGGGCGGAACCTTTAGATGGAGTGAGGGAGGTGGAAGCAGAGGGAGCCGTTGCAGGGACAGCAGGGGGGGATGGAGATGGGGCAGCGGAAGGGCAAGGGCAAGGGGAAGGGCAAGGGGAAGGGGAAGGGGAAGGGGAAGGGGAGGGGGAAGGGGAGGGGGAAGGGGAGAACGAGGAGGCTATGGACTGTGATATGATGTTCATGTCATGGGGTATGCCGCACATGCCCCCTCCTCAGCAGCCCAAAGCTCCACCCCAGCAGAACAAGCCTCTAGGTGCCGGGGTTAAGCTGGGATTTCAGCAGCCCAGTGGGGTCAAATCCGCTCAGGAGAAAGCGCAGGTTGAGAAGCAGGTTAAGGCAGAGCAGACTCAGGGCCAGGTCAATCAGGCGCAGGTGCTGTCAAGGGCCCCACAGGTGGATATTCAGGTGTCAGCGCAGGTGCCCGATCCAGCTGCTGGGACTCTCGCTGCTGCCAATGCTGCTGCTGCTGCTGCTGGTAACGCTGCTGCTGCTGCTGTTGCTACTGCTGGTGCCGGTGGCAGCTGTGTGGGCGCTGCACCTAGTGCTGCTGAGCAGCCCCTGAAGCAGGATCAGCCAGGAAAGCCAAACCGGCTTGCTGCTCGAGGTAATTTCTGCCCTTCGCTTCTTTCCCTATCATCTCTCCCTACCTGTTCCCCTCCTCCACTTTTTTCTCTCCCCACAGCTTACCTCTTCCCATACCTTCCCCCTCACACCTTTTTCCATCTTAACCTGCCTTCCCTCAGGACCCTTCCGTTGTCCTCCATATCCCCTATCTTCACCTGAGCTTGTTTCTCGCCTCTGCTGTTTCGTTACCTTGTCACCTCGTGTGTCACCCCCTTTTTCTTTCCTCCCTTCCATCCCCTCTCTGCTTCAGATATTTTATCATGAAAAAGAACAGCTCAGTCTGCCACTGAGCCTCGCCCTTCAACCAGCAGTCCCATGCCCTCCCCTTCCAATTGTTCTCACACTCCCCTCATGTTTCACACCCCCCCTTCTTTCCTGTTCCCTCTCCCATCCCCTCTGTGCTTCAGATATCCCAACACAAAAGAGAGCCGCTATGTCGTCTGCCACTGAGCCTCGCCCTTCAACCAGCAGTCCCATGCCCTCCCCTTCCAACTGTTCTCACACTCCCCTCATGTTTCACACCCCCTCCGCCCCCCCCCCCCGCCCTTCTTTCCTCCCTCTCCCATCCCCTCTGCTTCAGATATCCCAACGCGAAAGAGGGCAGCCATGTCATCAGCCATCTCTGAGCCTCGCCCTTCAACAAGCAGTCCCATGCCGTCCCCTTCCAACTGCTCCCACACCCCCCTCCTCCCTTCCCACTCCTTGGGCACCCTCCCCCCCTCACGCACCTCCCCACCTCTGCACCGCTCTACATCCGCCTCCACCCCTCACCTGGCAGCCTCAGCCGCACTGACTGTCAGCGGCCCCCTGAAAAGAACCGCCACTCACGCCGGCCCGTCTTCTGCCCGCGTTATACCCTCTAAAAGGCTCTCCGGGTCGCGTTATAAGGGCCCGGGTCGAGCTTCAGCTGCGTTTGCTGCTGCGCCGGGGAATCCATTTGGCGTGTCTCCATCCCCTCCTGGAAAATCCAGTGTGTTCTCCCATCTGTCCACGTCAGCACCGCCTGCCACGGCTTTCCCACCGCACATGTATACGATGTCGTCTGTAGCGCATCCGTCTGCAGCACATCCGTCCTTAGCGCATCAGTCCTTAGCGAATCACACTCTTGGCGTGAGCATGGGCATGGGCATGGGGAGTGTTAGTGCCACACACCATGGGGCTTATGGCGCTGCTGCTGGCGGTTATGCCACTTCAGGAGGTTATTCAGCTGCTGCTGCTGCTGCTGCTGCTGCTGCTGGCGCTGCTAGTGCTGGTGCAATTGCTGCTGCTGGCGGGTACAATTCACATATGGCCCTGCGCAGACATCCCCATGCGCCTTCTAGCTTCCGCGGCTTGTCATATCTCGCCCACTCGCCCCCAACCACTGCCCACTCCTTCCTCTCCCACTCGCCTCCCACACCACACTCCCTCCACCACCACCACTACCACCCGAGCCACTCCCTGCCTTCCATTCATAACGAGCAAATGCAAGGGATGCTACAGGAAAAGGGCCGTCGAATCCGCCCCCGTGCCGACCCAGCTGCCACTATCGGGTTTGCTTGTAAAGGGGCTGTTTCCGCGCCCGGGCCTGCTGCTTCCGAGGCAGATGTGGGAGGTTCGGCTGCTGCTGCAGCTGCACATTCGGCGGGCGAGGGGGTGTGCCCTAAGGGGCTTGGCACTCGAATCAACTCGTCTGCTAGTCTCTGTACTGGCGGTGCCTCTCTGCCTAAGGACAAGGGGAATGGTAGACTCGGGGAAGGTGGAATAGGGGGAGGTGGGTTAGGGAAACGGGATGGAATGGATGTGATGCATGGAGGAGAAACAGCAGTGGGAGAGGAGAGGGCTGGTAAAGAGGCAGCAGATACTGCTGCAGAAAATGCAGCAGCTAATGCACTAGCAGCAACTGGCGATATGAACCGTATTCCACCAATGGTGCTCGTACCTCCATCCATGCGTGGTGGTGAAGAGGCTTGTATGGAGGATGCGTCAGGAGCAGCTGGGAGCGTTGGTGTTGCTGTCAGTAGTGGTACAAGTATGCAGGTAGAGGGAGGGGTGGAGACGGGGAAGGGGAGTGAAGAGGCAGAACAAAGGGCAGCGACAGCAGCTGGTGGTGCTGGGAGTGGTGATGCTGCTGCTGTCAGTAGTGCTGTGAGTATGCAGGTGGATGGAGGGGCGGAGAAAGGGAAGGGGGGTGAAATGGCAGAACCGAGAGCAGCAACAGCAGCTGCTGTTGACAGTGGTAGTGCTGCTCCTGCTGCTACTGAGCGCGCTGCTGCTGTTGGCAGTGCTGCTGCTGTTGCCACTGCAATTACTGCAGCTACAGCTGCTACTGCCGCTACCGGTGCTGCTGCTGCGAGCAGTGCAGCAGGCCAAGGGGTTCGCAGTGGGGGAAGCAGCAGCAGCAGCAGCGGCAGCCAGAGAAAAGGCTCCCAACCCCCAGCTCTGTACCCCATAAAAGCATCCCCGATAGCAGTGCCCGGCCCGGGAAAGAAAGCTCAGGGAGGAGGTGTAGAAGCAGCAGCACGCTCAATACAGCAGCAGCAGCTGAAGGCAAGGCAGCAGCACCTGGCAGCATCAGCCCCAGCAGCCCCTGTGGGTTCTATCATAATGAGCTCCTCCTTTTCGCCTACTACTCCCTCCCCCCTCACTCACCACCAAGGTCCCTACGGCTTCCCTTCGTCTGCTAGCGTGACCCCTGGAGCAGGTTTCCTTCCAGGGTCTCTAGGAGCAGCAGGGGGGATGTCAGGAGGATTTTCAGGTGGCCAGCCAGGTGTTTTCTCAGGTGGTTTCTTCCATGGGGGGGTTCCTGGGTCTGTTGCAGGACCTGAGCGCATGCACCTGATGATGGCTGGTGGGCCTGGAGCCGTACGCCAGATTTCTCCTGGGATGGGTCCGGTGGTCGGCCAGGTGCCCACAACAATGGTCCAGGTGCCAGGCGGAATGATATCTGGGGTTTCACCTGGTGCCACCCCTTCCCTGCATCAAACACACCCTATGCACCACCTGTACCACCCACACATCCCACACCATCCTCAGCACCACATGGTGGGATTTGCACCAGCAGGTGCAGCAGGGGTGTCAGGCGGGAGAATGGGCATGTATGGGATGGGAGGGGGCAGCATGAGTGTTAGCATGAGCAGTGGGGGCAGCAGCACTGCGAGTGGGGCAGGAACGGGTGTAATGGCAGGTACAGGGGGACAGGCAGGGGGTGCAGGAGCAGGAGGGGTGGGAGGAGGGGCAGGAGGAGGGGGAGGAGTGGGAGTGGGAGGAGTGGGAGGAGTGGGGGCAGGGGGCGTGAGTGCTGAGCTTATAGTGAAGAGGAAGAGGGGGCGGCAGAAGAAAGTGCCGTCTAAAATCGGCCCCTGTGGTGCCACCACTAATCTGCGTCCCCTCGCTCCTAGAAACGCTGCTGCTGCTGCCACTGCATCCGCTGCTGGTGCGGCTGGTGCTGGCAGTGGTGGTGGGTCTGCTGGTGCTGCTGCTGGGGGAATTGGGGGAGGAGGAGTGGGGGGAGCAGGGGGAGCAGGAGGAGCAGGAGGGGTAGGAGGGGCAGGAGGGGCAGGGGTGGGGATTGGGTATGGAGCTGCTACAGCAGCTGCTACAGCCGCAGGATTGGCTGTAGCAGGACCGACGTTACCTCCGGGTTCCTCAGCTCAATTTGGCCTCCAAAGGATGATAATGGTACCTGCTACTACAGCTCAGCCCACTCTAATCCGCGTCCCGTCCCACCCGCAGCCCTCGTTTTTGTCACACTTGCCAGGAGCACACCCCTCACACCGCTACCCCATGCCTGGGCACCCGCCCATCCATTTCAATGGGGGCATCATGGGCGTGGGCAGTGCTGCTGCCCTGCCGCCCCATACAGCCCAAAAATAGTGGTGACTGCAGCAGGTGGGGGTCAGTCGCCGCTGCCCTGCCGCCCCATACGGCCCAAATGTAGCACCTAAAGATAGCGGTGACTGCAGCGGGTGGGGGGAACATGGGCGTGGGCAGTGCTGCTGCCCTGCTGCCCCATACGACCCCGTATGGTGGTGGTGGGCAGTGGGCAGGGGAGAAGAGAGCGGCGACTGGAGCAGGTTGAACTGGCCGTTAAATAAGTGACCGGCCATTGATTTGTTCCTTCAATCTTTCGGCACATACCGAAACACTTCACTCCACTTTCCCCCAGTACCCGTTCCCCTCCACTTTCTCCCTCCTCCACTTGCCCCCTCCCACCCTATTCCTCCTCGCTAACTTCCCAAGCCACCTCCCCTATCTTCTCCCACCACTCCTCCTTCCACCTCACCCATTTGTTTCACCTCACCCATTCGCTCACCCATTCGCTCACGCATTCGTTCCACCTCATCCATTCCCTCGCCCATTCATTTTACCTCACCCATACATCTTGTCAGTCCTTCAACCTCACCCATCCCCCCTGCCCCCTGCCGCTGCATAAGTTACTGCACCCCACGTCTCTCGCCTAACAACCATCATCATTTAAGTTCCAACACAGTTGCTGTCAGCAGTTGAAGATAAGCTGTTCTTGCAGTGTGAGCTGCGCACTCTCTCTCTGGTGAAGCATGTCCCAAAAGCAGATACATTAGCTTCCAACTTGTCCATTCGTAGCGAGGGTATTTTTGAGACGTCTCAAAAACACCCTCGCTACACACCGATACATTAGCTTCCAAGTTGCCCATTCTTGGCAGGCTTCTTGTTTGGACATAGGGTCGTTTGGTGGAACCACAGGAGGAATAGGTAGCAAGGAGGGAGTCACTACCAGGCCTGCTTATCAAGGAGGCCTGGTTGCAGGGGCCTCCCCTCCCCCACGTATAAGAGAGGTAATGGAAAATGCCTTATCCTAAGGGCACGATTCTCAGCTATCAGGTTCCTTGGGGCGTGAAGCCGATCCGGGTCAAGGGTCTAGAGCAGCAGTCCTAGGCAGCAGGCAGCAACTCGGTTTGTGGGTGCGTGTGAAACTGCAATCTGCTCACTTTTGTATTGGCATGCCGTGTACATACTCTATCGTCTTTATCTGAATCAATGCTGATGCTAGTACTGTAATTTTTTCATTATGTGCTGTATTAGACAGGCTGCAGCTGAGGCTCATTTCTCCGTGGAGCTGGCAGAAATGAGGGTGAGAATGCACCCACAATTCTGTTGTGAATTTGACTAGTTGCCTGTTGCTCAGTTGAACAAGCCATTGTTTTCTCACCTGTGCTTATGCGATGTTCTCTAGAGCAGTGGTATGTGTGTTGTAGCTCGTAAATTAAATCAATATCCGTTTCAGGGAGCATGCAAATGGTACCTATTGGGTCACTCATCTGCTATAAGTTTTTGCAAGACCGGAGGTACATCGAAGTGTATATTGTTGAGAGTTATATTGAAGTCCTTACTGTATACCTTGGAGACACGTCGGACTGTCTCCTGCAGAATGGGGAAAGATGTGAGGATGTACAGTGCAAGTAGAGATGAGAGCAGGCACCTTATTAGTGAATCATAAAATCCACAGCAACAGAAGGGTTATCTTGAGAGAGGCATAACATAATTAGGTAAAAGGAGGGATAAGCAAAGCCTGACAGTGGGGAATCGGAGAAAAATGCATCAGTCTAAAGCATTGATGATTGAGTGCATGGAAGAAGGGAAAGGACCGTATGAAACAGGATAGTCCACAAACAAGATGACACTGTATCATGATATCACATACACACATAGGACAAAACACACCATCCAGGCTCACGCATCACATACCAAATCTCCCTTATTGCATCTCCCATATCGCTGCATCACTAATGCATCACATATCACATAAGCTAGATCACCAGATGCACACCCCATATGCCATATGCACATCCTACATCACAAGTCGCAACACAAACCACAAATATCACATATAGCACATATCCCATGCATCCCATACTGTACACCATATATGCTACAAAATCACTCACCGCATCATATAGCCGAGCTAGCTTCAGATCCGTCCCAGTCGCATGCGCTTCTTTTCCAAACTTAAACAGGTGTATATTTGAGTGGTTGTAACGCGCGGTTACCACACGAACCCCGTCCTCCAAGTTTTCGAAGTGCCCCACATAATCGTACTGTATGTGGTCCAAGGCGCAGAGATCCACTTGCGGGGTTATGTGTCGATCTAGGGGTTTCTGCCCCCTTATAAGGTGCTCCACTAAGCGCATAAAGTCGTGGAACGATACGAGCTGCGTGGCTGGATCTTTAAGCAGGTCAAAGAAGGGCTGCACGCTTCCAAAGAGTTCCTGTTGGGAGCAGATGGAGCGAGAAGAAAGAAGCGAAAAAAAGGAAAATGGAAAATCAGGAAAAGAGGGAATGTTTTAGGTCTCAGGAGGGCACAATTCTTCATTCTAGCAGCTCCTGTTGGTCCAGTCGGAGAAAGGGGGAAGGGATGGGAAGGAAGGGAAGGAGGAGAAAAGAGGGTCTTTGAGAATGTCTAAGAAGGGCAATAAGGGCAATGAGGGCAAGAAGGTTCTAAAACTCCCTCGTCCCCCATCAGTCACAACCAGCTTGTTGTGACGGTAAGTCAACACAACACAACCCTCGAGAACGGATTCCGTTCAAACATGAACTTGAACAGCCCTTCCTCACTCACTCACTCCCTCCCTCACTCATTCACTCACTCATTGTCCACCCAATCCCTCTCTCACACCCACCTTGTTCCAAAACTCTCTTGTCCCCCACCCCTTGGTCCTGTCAGGTGCGTCTGTCACCACCAGCTTGTTCAAATAGGTCGAAACCACCCTCGAAAACGGATTTCGCACGAACGTGAACTTGAACAGGCCTCTTCTCGTCATCGCCCGTGTGGCCTCTTTCTCAGTAAACTTCTGGGAAAGGTCCCCCAGCCCGCTGGCCTCGTAGCTGTGTGCGAGGAGATGGTCCTCTGGCTTGGGGAGATGCAGCATGGCCCGCAGCCACATGCGCCAACTCGTGCAAGCGACCTTGGGGAGACCGCAGTAGGCCAGATTGAGAGATGCTGTGTGTGGGGGGGAACAGAGGTGAAGGTGGGTGCCGGGGGATGGGCAGTGGGCAGTGGGTAGTGGCAGGTGCAGCATGGCCCGCAACCACATGCATGCCACCTTGGGGAGACCACAATATGCGAGGTTGAGCGGTGCTGCTAGGCATGGGGTGGTGTGGCATGAGAACGCGGGACAGTTGGATTTTGAGTCGACACAAAACACGACCCATTACACGTGGAGCGATGCTGCTAGGCATGGGGTGGTGTGGCATGAGAGGGACAGTTGGAGGGGTGTGGAGGCGGGTGGGAGGGATGGAAGGGATGAGAGACGAGTGGCAGACTTAGTTGGTATTGTACGTTTACGGTGGTTTACGTTTACGTGACTTTACGTAGTAAACTTACGTTTACTTACGTGGGCTAAAAATGGCTTTACGTTTACGGTCAGCTAGAAACAGTTCTAACTGCCCGGAAATATAAGAAATCATCGGACTAAGTGGCTGCATGGGAAGCGCCTAATCTATCACTAGCTTGGTTCTTCTACGCCCAAGCATGTTAGCACATTATTACATCAACTTACAGATGCCCCAAATCTACACAAACATGTAGCAGCCTCTCCCACCTCATATCAGTCAGGTTTTTTCGTTTCGCGGGCAAATTTTTTTTTTTTTGCCCTGCCCGTGCGACTTTACGTAAAATTACGCGTAAGAAAACGTGAAGGTAAACTCAAGCGTAAGTTTACGTTTACGTGACCCAAAAAAACGTAAAGTACCAACTAAGGTGGCAGACAGGTGGAAGCATGTGCAGGGAGGGGCTCATGGGTGGATGGATCGGTGGGTGCTTGTGCATGACATGGGATGGCATGGAAAAAGGCAGGGCATGAGACAGCATTGCACTTACGTTCGACCACAAAGAACTTGGCAAAGAGTTGACGGGGGATGGGAGGGATGGGGGATGTGTGGCAGACGGGAGGCAGCATGCGGAAGGAGGGGTTGCGGGCGAGAGCACAGCACGGCTTGGCATGGCATTGCACGGTAGGGCATGAGACAGCATAGCACTCACGCTCAACGACGAAGAACTTGGCAAAGAGTTGACGGGGGATGGGAGGGATGGGGGGCGAGTAGCAGACGGGAGGCAGCATGCGGAAGGAGGGGTTGCGGGCGAGGGCTCGGGCGCGAATGAAGTCTGCTGCTGGCGATGGTCGCATGTGCAGCATGGCTTGTGTGTTGGCGAGAAGGAGTAGTTCGGCAAACTGTAAAAGGGGAGAGGGACGGAAGGGTATAGGAGGGGTATTGGAGAGAGGGGTACAGGTGGGACACGGGAGGGGAATACGAAGGACATATGTGGTGCTCATACGTTGAGACGTCCACATATGCATGCATCCATTAAAAAAAATACTTGCACAAGTAGATGCACGGGCATTTTTTTTGTAGGTTCATTCTGAGAATTCTCAAAATCAACCCACAAGTAGATGCACGTGTGTTTTGAGTCGACTCAAAACACACCAAGTGTGTTTTTTTGAGTCGACTCAAAACACACCAAGTGTGTTTTTTTGAGTCGACTCAAAACACACCAAGTGTGTTTTTTTGAGTCGACTCAAAACACACCAAAATCAACCCACAAGTAGATGCACGGACAAGTGCACGCCCCGCTTGCACACACCCACGTGGCTCTCACCTCATGCTGTTGACACGCGATCAGCGCCCTCCTTGCTCTCTCCACTGCCCCAGCATACACATATGCCTCTCACCCCACCCACGGGCCTCTCAAGAGCCTCTCACCTCATCTGTTGACACGCGATCAGCGCCCTCCTTGCTCTCTCCACTGCCCCAGCACTCACTCTCCTCGCCTCCTCCACCACACCAATCGCCTCCTTTCCCCTTCCTGTCACCACCCCAATCGATTTCAAGTCCCCTAGACTAAAAAATCCACCCACGTGCCTCTCTCTCACCTCATGCTGTTGACCACGCGATCAGCACTCTCCTTGCTCTCTCCACTACGCAAAAAAACAAAAAAAAATGAACCAAGTGATTTTGAGACGTCTCAAAACCACCTTTAAGCTAAAAAAGAAACACGTGAGGCTTTCCCCTCCGCAGCCCACCTGTGCCCCCTCAACACAAGCAAGGCTCTCACCTCATGCTGTTGACACGCGATCAGCACTCTCCTAGCTCGCTCCACTGCCCCAGCATCCACTCTCCCTGTGTCCTCCACCAAACCAATCGCCTCCTTCCCCCTTTCTGCCACCATCCCAATCACCTTAACCAGCTCATCCACACTCACATTCGCATGCCCCTGCCTCCCCTTCACTCCCCCACTTCCCCCGCCCCCTCCCCCCCCTCCACTCCCTCTAAACCCTCCTCCTCCCGTACCCTTTGCACCACCCATTTGACCCTCCGAACCAGGTGTGCCCGGCAGCTTCGGCCTGCCAGGTCCGGCAGGGGAACCAGGTTCGGCATCCATCAGGCCCGGTGTGGCCATGAGCTTTTTTATCGCAGGTTCGGTGCATCTGGCTGCTCTAAACTCGGCCGATGGGGGCATGAAAGGGGCGCGATTCCGGTCGAAGAAATCGGCGATTGCGGTGGGATGGGAGGGGTCTTGGGAAGCGATGGTGAGTTCGATCGACGGGCGGCGTAGAATTTCCATCGCGATGCTCCGGGCAACGCAGTCGGAAATTTGCCTGCCCGGCGGGCAGCCGGAGCAGGAGGATTGGTCGGAGGGGGGCTGTGAGGGATGGGGGTAAAGGTGGGAGGAAAGGAGAGAGGGAGAGAGGGAGAGAGAAAAAAAAACCTTCAGTGGAAGGGTTGGGAATTCGGCAGTAAACAGAGGCAGGACATAACTTTCTGTGAGAGAGGGGAGGAGCAGGAAATAGGAGGAGTAGGGTTGTGTTTTTTGAGAATTCTCAAGAAATAGGAGTAGGGTTGGGATTACATACATCAACAAGACGGCTGTGCTCTGGGTGACAAGTGTCATGTTGAGATTGGTGGACGCGTGTATTAGAGAAGAAACGAGAGTTGCACAAGGAGAAGAGAGGAGGAGAAGAGAGGAGTGAGGGTAGTGGTACATACATCAACATAGATGGCTGTGCTCTGGGTGACAAGTGTCATGTTGAGATTGGTGGACTCCACAATGCCTCTCACTGCCTCCGATGGCTGCAGGCGAGCATAGCAGCGGTGAAACTCCTCCAGCACCAAACACCCCACCACCTTCTCCTGTTGGGAAGGACACACAAGTGGGTACAAACGAGGATCAAATGGGGCAGAGATTGGTGGACTCCACAATGCCTCTCACTGCCACCGAGGGCTGCAGGCGAACGTAGCAGTGGTGAAACTCCTCCAGCACCAAACACCCCACCACCTTCTCCTGTTGTTGGGGGAGAGAGAAAGTGATTGTGGCAGAGCAAGGGGGCACATGGGAGGCATGAAGGGAAGGGATGGCTGCAGGAGCGCGTGGCGGTGATGAAAATCCTCCAACACCAAACACCTTTTGAGGCGTCTCAAAAGTCCTCCAACACCAAACAAACACCTTTTGAGGCGTCTCAAAAGTCCTCCAACACCAAACAAACACCTTTTGAGGCGTCTCAAAAGTCCTCCAACACCAAAGACCCCACCACCTTCTGCTGTTGATTGAGGAAAAGCCGAATAAGTACAAGAGAGGCACGAGGCACAGACACCCACACGTAACCCGCGTAAGGCACGGGTTTCAATTCCTGCTACAAAGCAGGTACAAGTGAGGCACGAGTTTCAATTCCTGCTACAAAGCAGGTACAAGTGAGGCACGAGTTTCAATTCCTGCTACAAAGCAGGTACAAGTGAGGCACGAGGCACAGACGCCCACACGTCGAAGGAGACATGCACCCTCTATTCTCTGCACCCCCCCTCCCTCCCCCAAAACTCACGAAGTTGGTGCGGTTGAGTGCTTGCACAGACACCCACACGTGCAGAGAGAGACGTGCACACTATATCCTCTGCCTACAGCCTCGGCCCACACCCTTGAACGTCTAACCCCTTATGCCACCCCCCCCCCCCCCCCCTCGGCCCACACCCTTGAACGTCTAACCCCTTATGCCACCCCCCCCCCCCCCCCTCGGCCCACACCCTTGAACGTCTAACCCCTTATGCCACCCCCCCTCCCCCCCCTCCCCCTGCACTCACGAAGTTGGTGCGGTTGAGCGCCCTCACAGACACCCACACGTGCAGAGAGAGCCACTCCGCACAGTTGGCCCAAACACTGCTCCCTCCCCACATACTGCCCCCTGCACTCACGAAGTTGGTGCGGTTGAGCGCCCTCACAGACACCCACACGTGCAGAGAGAGCCACTCCGCACAGTTGGCCCAAACACTGCTCCCTCCCCACATACTGCCCCCTGCACTCACGAAGTTGGTGCGGTTGAGCGCCCTCACAGACACCCACACGTCCAGAGAGAGCCGTTCCGCTTCAGAGGGGTCCAGCGCTGCGCTGCTGCGCCCGCACTGCCCAAACCGCATCTGGCGTGGTGGGGGGGGGGAATGTGGGCGCGGGGAGCACAGCGGGGGGATGTGGGGGGATGAGAAGGAGAGTGGAGGAGGAAGAGCGGGGTAGAGCACACGGGGGGGAATGTGGGAGGGTGGCGGAGAGCAGGTGGGAAGGAATGTTGAAGAGGAAGGGGAGAGGAGGAGGGGGAGGCAGGGGCAATGTGCGTATGATGAGGAATACCCACATTCTCCATGTTCTCATTATTGCCTTATCGCTCGTTTCTAACGACAGGGATGCGCAGGAAGCGCTCTTCTGGCAGTACCTGCCAATAGCAACTTAAGACTGTCGTAAAAGTAAACCGCGTTAATACCCCACACCGTACCGTTTTGGGCACAAACGGGTGCGCGAGGAACGCTCTCGTGGCTGTAACGGGCGACAGCGCTCCCCCCGTATCAATCACCATCGGCCCGCCTCCCCGTCCGCCCCCTTTCGCCCCGCCTCCCCCTCTCTCCCCGGCCATAGTCACTTCCTCCCTATCCCCCCTCTTTGGCTCTCTTCTTCCCCAAGTGAATTTCCCCCTTGACCGCGCGCTCTCCCCCCCTGATCTTCCCCCGCCCGCTCCTCCGCCGCCGCCCAATAGAATTTCACTGGGCGGCACGTAGATCATCCCCTCGTCTTTTAGCCAAACGACACGGAGAGAGAGGCGGGAAATGGCGGCGGTGGCGTTGGCTAAGCAGAGAGTTTGAATGCGATTCGAGAGGGGACCCATGGCGAATGCGATCATTTTGTATCGTGAGCACGTCGCAGCGCTGGGGGATTCGTCGCACGGGTCGCGCAGCTCGTCGCTCACGATCATTCGTCGGCTGTCGCCGTCGTCGTCGTCTGCGAAATCGATGTACTTCGCGTAGCGTCGCAGGAGCGACGAGTGGTGCAAGAATGCGATTGCGGTGAGGACGAAAATTGTTGCAGGAACGAGCGTCGCCTTGCGACGCCATGGCGATGCTTTCGATCCAGTTTTAGTCGCAGGCGATTTCCGCGAGCTTCTCGTAGTTTCTCCTGAGGAAGTACTATTTGGTCTAGGGACCTCCGTTACGGCCATGTCTTGCATTCAATCAACTAGCCCTAAAATTCGAGTCACGTGCAACAGGGAGTTGACCATTAACAAATCGTTCTATTGTCCTAATCGTGCGAGGATTGTAGCGAGTTTTGGAAAATGCAGGCCAGGCGACGGCTATTTGCTTGGATCTAGCCGACGCGCAATTCCCTTGGTTTGAAGCCTAGAAAATCACCAGAAAAGAGGTGGAGTTGGGGGACATGGGATTGTGTTGTGATTGGTGGGTTGGCGAAACGTTGTGTTCTGACAAGAACTGATAGATATCCATCATATGCCATCTGGGAACGCAACGAGTATATGTTTCAAACGAGGATGGAATGACAAGATGATGGCGGGAAAGATGGTGGCGAGGCGTAAAGGACGGCCCTTGCGCGCAGAAACTCCGAGATGGTGAACCATGGCGATAATTCCTTGTTTTGAATTTACTCTATAGTGAATACTTGCTCACATTCAATGAGCGAGAACATGCTTGTTTCGCGTATTTGAGACAATCTGACCCCTGATCTTCGAATCTTTCCGCGAAAACCTTCGTGCAGCTGTTCCGTGGTTTCTGATCACAAACACTTCGTAGCGTCGTATCTCAGATGGTAACTCAAGCCTTAAAAGCTCGCACATGTTGAAAGAGCCCCCAGTGCACCCGGGAACGATGGCCGTCTCCTAGTTTCGTGCACCTGTTACGCTTCGCTGTTTTCGCATAACGTGCGTCATAGCGCAACCTTCACCCGTGCCGCACAGACCGAGCCGCATCCTTTCATTGGAATCCTTTTCAGCAGAAACCCATATCAGCCGAACACACACAAAACAGCTAGCAGAGGTTTCCTCGAGGCACAGTTCCTCTTTCGCAAAATCAGACGGCGATTCCTCCAAGTCACAACAACAGCAAGTAGTAATGCGGATCACATGGCGGCTGACCTGGAAATCCACTTTCATCGGCTGCTTGATGAGCCTTCCTCTTTCTTGCGATTTTCCGGCGAACGCGGCGACAGTATGTCGCATTCGCCGCATGACACTACTGTGAAGTACCCTCAGACAGGGGCGCGTGAAGGTCCACACGAACGCCATCAGAAGAAAGGCTCTCTGCGTACGCGCAGCAGTCCTGGCAGCAGCAGCCGCAGCCTAAGCAAATCTGGCTCTGGCACAATTAGCGACCGGGCTGTGACCTTTACGAATCTAAAGGATCCTAGGCCGTGCGGAAGTATAGTTTCCCGCGCTTGGATCAGAAGACTGGCGTGACCTCTTATTTCGGACATTCCCTGCGTCACAGAGCTGCGCGGGTCGAAAATCAGAAATCAAGGGCACCAGACCACAGCGAGAGGCTAGTTATTTCAAGCTCGCAATACCTTATTGCCATACTCAAACGTCCCGATTAAAGAAAACCTGAGCGTTTTACTGCTAATTTGGCGGTTGTGCGCCGCCGGCGGCCTCGCCCACCAGGACGCTCGGATTGGCGCACTCGCTTCATTCGAGGCGCTCACCACGACTCGGCATCATGGTGCGTGGACAGGGGTGTCACTCGAAGCCCTGAAACGCGAGAGGGGAATTGTATGCTGAATCTGGTTTTTTGAGAATTCTCAAAGAATAGATTCTCACCACGACTCGGCATCATGGTGCGTGGACAGGGGTGTCACTCGAAGCTCTGAAACGCCGGATTCAGCCAGTTTAAATACGGGAAGTTCATCACGTTTTCATTCCGATCAACCATGCAACGTTCGCACAAACCGAGCTTGAACCGTCCAAATTGTCTTCTGAAGGTCGGTTTGATCTTCCGAGTATGTAACAGCCTCTGACACTCTCTCTCTCCCCGCCTCCCGCTCTCAACTCGTGGTTTGCAGGGTCCTGTGCTGGTTCCGCGCTTCGGAGAGTGGAACGAAACGCCTCTTTCGCCCTCTCCAGATGTTCTTTCGCCCACAGGAGTCACTGGCGATACAGTTACCAGACGAACCGGATCTCGCTCCCACCAAGCCTCTCGTCAATCCTCCCCAGCTTCCGCGCGCCAGTCCCGCTCCGCGTCTCCAAACCTCCGACAGCCATTGATCGCCCTCCAGCGCCGATCCGACGGCTCTCCTGCTGCCACGCCATCTCGTGGCCACGAGCCAAATCTCGTGCGGAGCAGCAGCAGCGGATTTGGAGGATGGCGTCGCAGACGACCAGCCAGCCCTGTTGCTTCTATCAATAGTAACACTACTATGAATACCACTGCCCTTTGTATTAGTACCAGTTCTACCACTAGTGTTTCTACTGCTAAAGGTTGCACCCAGAATGCACCAGTGCTGCCGAGCACCCGCGCACGCCTTGTCAGCACAGCAACAGCAGCTGCTGCAGCAGCAGCACGGGCAGCACAAGCAGCAGCAGCAGCAGCAGCAAACGTGCCAGCAACAGGATCCCAAACCAGCCGCCCGAGCCTCGCGAGGCTCCCAAGCCTTGGGAACCTCCCGAACCTCACAAGCCCGAGGCAAGGCGAGGTCACGTCCTCAGCTCAAGGCAAATCTCTGGGTGAGATTCTGAGGAGGCAGAGGGAGGAGGGAGGGGGGCATAGAGGGGGGGTGTACTCGGGAGAATTCCTTAAAGCCCGCCTTGCTCGGAGCGCCAGTGCTTCCCGTGCCTCCCTGCTGCAATCCCAAGGGAGCAAATCCCGAGGAACTGAATCCCCAGGGATCCAATCTCGAGAGATCGAATTCAAAGAAACCAAATCCCGAGAATCGGAATCAAGAAGGCGCCTGGAGCAGAAGGGGGAGCATGGAGGTTCAGATTTTACCAGGAACCGTGTTTCCCAGATAACGCCTGCTAACATGTCCCTGTGGAGGCACCGTGAAATCAGCAGCAACAGCAGCAGCAACAGCAACGGCAGCAAGCACGGGTGGCACGGGCATACAGGGATGGGCCAGGGGTCGAGTAAGAGTGGGTGGGCCGGCAGAAGCAGTGGGGTTCGGTCCAGCTTGACGGCCAAAACCAGCCGGCCAGTCAGTTTCCTGACGGCTAGCAGTAAGGGCGGGGTGGGTGATGCCGAGGAGACGGATTCTTGTGGGATTCTGACGGCCAGAAGTGCGGATTCTGCCGGTTTGACAGATTCTGTTTGCTTGACGGATCATTTGACGGATTCTGCTAGCTTGACGGATTCCTTGACGGATTCTGTCAGCTTGACAGGTAACAGGTCGATGGACGTGAGCGGGAAGCATCTGATGGATGAGATGAGCCGAGTCAGCATGTCAAGCCAGGCCAGCATGGGGTACAGCCACGTCAGCAAGGGATCCAGCCAAATCAGCGCTGGCTCAAGCCATGTTGACAGCACCGCCGAGTCATCAACATCCTCCTCAAGCCACGTCAGCAGGGCGTCCATGTCAGCATGGTCGCCACGTAGGCTTGGGAGCCCGCTCAGGTTCGGCAGCCCGTTTGGTTCATGGAAAACAAGCAGCCGCAATTCCGAGGCTAGCAGCAGTCGTGACACTAAAGAGAGTGATGACAATAACGAGGGGAAGAGGAGGTATGGTAGCGCCAAACGAGCAACTAATAATTCTCGCAGGGATGGGTGGCTCAGCAATGGTAAGAAGGTTCCTGAAATCAGCGCTGACGTCAGCTTCGTCAGCACTGACATCAGCAACGTCAGCAATGATGCTAGCTGCGTCAGCAGTTACATCAGCCACATCAGCAGGGATGTCAGCCACGTCAGCAGCACCATCAGCGGCAGCAGGAACCTGACCAATTCCAGCGCGCCATATCGTGATGACGTCAGTTGCACGGACGATGACATCAGCAACCCAAGTGGGAATCTCGATGACAGCGGCAGCATCAGTACACTCCGTACCCCTTATAGTCCCACCGGCAGCAGCGCGGGCAGCAGCGGGACGACAGGCAACAGCAGGCGAACAGTCATACCGAAATTTGGTGAATGGTTGGATCCAAAACGCGAGAACACCCGCACGGTATACAATAGTGAGTCCACTCGTAAAGAGTACAATGGTGGTCGTTACAGTGCAGATCGAGACGTTACCACCAGCAGCAGTATTAGCAGCAGAATCAGCAGCAGCAACCTTCGGAACCACCACCACCCCCTCCTCCCCCCGGAAACGACCCTGAGTGAAACCAGTAGCATCTGCACCAGGAGTAGCACAAGCCACCCCAGCAACAGCAGCAGACATACCGGCTACACCAGCCACATCAGCAGCAGCAACAGCAGCAAGTACACATGCAGTATCCAGAGCAGGGGGAGGGGGCAGAGTGCAGAGACAAGGTCTAGAAGCAGCAACAGCGACACACACAACAGCAGAAGCAGCGCAGACACCAGCAGCAGTAAATACAGCAACAGCAGCAGGAACCATAACAGCAATTACAGCAGCAACTATGGCAGCGACCACAGGAGCAGTCACAAGGGCAGTTCTGCTCGCAGTGGCTTGGAAAGGAGAGAGGAGGAGGAGCAGGAGCAGGAGGATTTCCCTTACTCGGAGGTGTTTGAACGGGCGAGGAGAGAGAGGCGTGAGACACAGGCTGCAAGGGAGAGAAGAGCAGCGGACAAGGAGGAGGCGGAGGAGTTCGGAATACGGAGTGAGAGGGAGAGGGAGAGGGGGGGTGAGAGGGAAAGTGAGAGAGGGAGTGAGCGAGGGAGTGAGAGAGGGAGTGAGAGAGGATCTGAAGTGAGCGGGGATGAGAGGCATGGGATT